AGACACAGACACTGACACAGACACAGACACAGACACAGACACAGACACAGACACAGACACAGACACAGACACAGACACAGACACAGACACAGACACAGACACAGACACAGACACAGACACAGAGCGCGCCCAGACAGCTGCTGGTTTTTAGGTGCGCAGATGTAGACATGTGTGGGTACCAACCCCGCAACCGACCTACCTGTTCGTGACCACAGTTGGGTGTAGTGGATCCACGCCCACCCCCCCCCCAACCCCCCCTCCCAAACAAAAGCACACACACGCATACAATAAATCGTGCTTTGCAGCGCAGTTCAGCTCCGGAGGAGTCGACGGCAGGCCTGCGTAAGGACGCAGCAGCCGAGCGAGTGCGCGGGAAGACATGGCAGGAGCATCGTGAATGTCAGTGTTTCTTGTTCAAGTCCTTTGTCTAGGGTTCAAGTACGATGCAAAACAATGCGTTTAGCGGAGCTATTCGAAGGGGTTTCTGCACAATTGAGTTGGGCAGCAACTGTAACGGCGGGAAACTCTTGACACTAAGGTTCTCAAGACAAGCTCCTAAACCCTAACCTGCCCTAAACCGCTGGTCGACCACATTCGTGCCCTGAACGTGTGCTGATTTGGGAGTCCCCCGTCCCCCACCCCCCCACTTGCGGGGACTTGGGGGGCTGGAAGGCTTTTGCACTGCTGACTAGACGCATGTCACCTGATTTCACGCCTTGATGGGTCCGAAAGCCCGAAAGCCAAGCCGGAGGACAAGCTCCGACGGTCGGTGGAGGAGGCCAAGGAGCTGCCAGCTGGCTCCAATGCCGGGATTCGGTGCCAAAGAAAGACCACTACTTTTTCGGCCTGTGGGATATTGGAAGATGTTAGGGTTCTGTGGGTTGTTTGATGCAGGAGTTCCCGGCTGATTGGCAGAGTCTGGGTTCAAAAAGGGTTCTGTATTGTCATAGCTAGCCGAGAAGGCAGAGAGAAGAACATGTCTCGGAAGGCGCTGGCTTTTTCAACCGGCCACCACGGCGGCTTTCAAGTCCTGTGGATACCGTAGAAGAGGTAGATGTCCAGGCGGCAGCTCCACAGTGTAGCAATGGGTGATGTCACTCGTTGGTGACATCACGTTCCGGTGAGTTGCAAGTTTGGCATGCGTCCCAGCTCTTGGTTCGAAATGTGTTGTGATAGAAACAGGAGCTGTGACTCGTACGAGCTTCTTGTTTTGATGTTACTCTTCTTGCTTGTTTTTACTGCAGCGAAGATCACTACGATCCTTATCAATCTCCAATCAATCCTCGCAATGTAAACCCAACCCAGACCTCGAAGCCAAAGCCTGTAAATACGCTGAGACCCACAAACTTGGGATCCCAGGCGGAGGAGTCTCCAGGAGTCCGAATCCCAATGCCAGGAGCTCCCGTTGAGTGTCTTCGGGATAGCCCCGCACCCCTTAAAGGAGTCATGATTTAGGGGTGGATTCCTAGAAAGGTTTGGAGGTTCAGACTGTTGGGACCGCTGAACCTTGAGCATTGAGGATCCGCAGAGCATGCGCGGTTTTGATTCAAGGTTTGGTTCAAAGTCCTACAAACAGCGCCGCTACCTGACCGTATGTTGGCTAGAATGCCCAGGGGTATCTCCAGTATTGCATTGGGATCCTATTGGGATCCTGGAGACACTGTTCCGAAACTAGCTTTGTTTTGGGTACCAGCTGCCCTATGAGATCGCCGACCAGCTTTGAGGAATTGCGCAAGTCCAGTGAGATGTGCCAAACCTACAACATAAAGAAGAGTGCATACGTACCCGACAAAGCCAGCAGGGAAACAAAAAAACAAGTACCTCTACGAACCCACCGCAGCTTCACGTTTCATTGATTTCCACAGCCCCTGTCGCACGCACAGATGCACAACAACAGCGGCAGCACAAAACCAACGAAAGGGCCTTAACCCTTGACCCTGACAGAACCAACCCCGAGCGAGCCCTAGACGGTCCATCCTGACTGAACCCTGAACCCGAAACCATAAATCCCGAAGCCGTAAACCCTGGCTGAACTCTAAGGTGTAAATTTCACACGGCACACCTTAATTCCTCAACCCTCAACCTTACTGTGAAGTCTTCAAGAAACCTCTCCAGGCCCTGCTGCAACAACTTTTCTCTGAAGGTGCACAGACAGGCCCTCCAAAAGGCTCGGCAGCGACCCTCGGAGCTGGCAGGGATCAAGGCTGACAGCGACGCTTTTAAGGACTGTGTCTGTCCTCTTCGAGCTGTTCTTGTTTTGGTGTGTCGCGTTCCTTGTAAGGCAGGCTTTTGGGGCTTAGGCGCAACATGAGGAAGCAGACGCGACAGGACAAACAATCAGTCAAGGTAACCGTATTGAGTCGTATTGCTGCAAGCACTGGTGGTGGAAACACTTTGCTTTTCGAGTGGCCATGACGAAATGATGAGATGATCATGACGATGATGACGATGATGAGGAGGATGAGGATGATGAGGATAATGGTGGTCAGGATTGTGAATACACGCCGGTTCCACATCTGAAGCCTGCACCCATTCTTCAGATGCGACATGTTTGCTGCCAGTATTAGGCCCATTCCCATACCTCCAGAAAGTGTCGCTTGACCTGTAAGCAAGGTGGTTAGTTTCACGTGTTGATGGATAGCGGTGTTCTCAGAAGCTGCAATCAGGAAAGAAGCTGCCGAACATTAAACTTGAGATTTCAAAGGCCTTGCTTGCACCCCGAACCCTTGAAGCTCTGTTAAAGGCCGCCTTTGTTTCAGCTTCGGCTTCCACTTGGCGCGAGAGCATGTCTGACTTTGGCAGCTGCCCAGTTGCCTTGGTGACACTGTTTATGGGGCATGGCCTGTTGGTTTAGCGAAGAGCGGTTGGCGTGCAGGGTTTACTGAAGGAACAAGTTGGTGCACGTACATGTCAGAAGCCATTGCCAAGAACAGCAGTAATATTGGCACTCAGCTCCGCCCTGACCAAGCTGTTCTGGCTATGGCTATTTCTCACTACTAAAAGGAGGCCACCAGCAAGGACTTGCACAAACTGGTGTTCAATTCGATTCAGTAGCAGGCAGCAGAAGCACAGCATCGGCCGTCGTGGCTACAGCCATCAGCAAAGGCATTGTCATGCAATCAGCATTGTCACCATGGCACTTGCAGCAGCTATAGTCACCTTCAATTCCGACATACGCTTGGAAGGATCACCATCATCAGGTTCACCATGGTTTTACCTGCCTGACCCGTGCCTTAAAATATATGAGCAAAGACAGGCCAAGCACAGCATGCTTGTGGCAAGCCCAACATCGCAAAACATAGCAGGTTAACAGCTGACTAGTCAGGCTCAGGCTTTTCGTCACCATACGTTACACATTCAACTGCAACTACTACGACTGCTGCTGCGACTGCGCCTGCGCCTGCGCTTTCCCCTGCGCCTGCTGCGGTGCTATTGCTACTAGCGTGCTGCTACTCATGCTGCTGCTGCTACCGCTACCGCTGACTCTACTGCTGCTACTACGGCTAAAGCTACTGCTACCCTACCGCCCCCACTACCGCTACCCTACCGCTCCCCACTTCTTCTTCTACTACTTCTTGTTCTTCAAAGGCTTCTACCACTACTACGACGACGACTGCGACTAGTCCTCCTACTCCTGCTATGCTGAGAAGCCTTTGATCTTGTTCGGCCCCTTAGCTGAAGCTCTTTCGGTTGTTCGGTTGTTCAAGACCTGCTGAGCCAAGGCCTTGTAAAGTCGCCGGCATCTGCGTCTTCGGCCGACAGACGCCAGCGGCTTTCTGCAGAGCTGCGGGCAGCGGAGACTCTGCGTCCTGTCCTGGCGTTGGTTTTTCTGTTCGCATTGGTTTCTCTGTGTTTTGAAGGAGTCTTTCAAGTTCTTTTTGAGAGCTTTGCGACGGTTGTTATACCATGATTCCATGATGCATGCCCTCGTCAGCGTGAATTTGGCGCATTCCTGATGTGCTGAGCGCCTGCAGTGCTTGAGAGACCCAGCTGGGCAGCACACAACCAGCAAAGTGGTTGTGCTGCGCTCGAAATGACTGTGGAGTTGGTGTGCGCGCGTTTGGTTGTCGCATGGTTTCTGCCTGTCAAGATCCTTGCAGTTTTCCACGCCCAATTGCCTGTTGAAATTATTAGAGCCCCTGCATGAAGTGCGTACTCCGAAGGTACGCCAACACCAAGCTCCAGGTCTCCGAATCTCGACTGCATTCGACAGCTTTCCCTCGACACGGTTGAGGGTTTAGACAGTTGCAATGAAGCACCACGACAAGGTTGCTTCTCTCACCAAACATCCCGCGTGAGCCTCTATATATATATATATATATAATATAGAGCTTCACCTGGAGGTTTCTGAATATTAGGGGTGCCCTATGCAGGGGTCCTTACATCGAGGAGCCTTCTATGTCCTGAAAGGCCAAGCTGTAGTTTGGAGCTGTTCCTTTGCCGCTTTGCTGCAGGAGATGAGATCGCAGATCCGGATGCTGCAGCTAGAGCAAGGTGCGAGTCGTGCCCCGGACTTGTGTCCCATGCTCGGACCTCAAGTCTTAAGTGAAACGGTGAAAGCGTCCTCGTTTTGTCCACGGAGCATTCCCCTCAAATAATGCCTCCTGGCACCGAGTTTGTCGGGAGATTGGGGAGCTTCAGGTGCTTCTGGTCCTCGGGCCCTGCCGGCGGCCAACTCGGTTCCCTCCATGCATTTTGGTATAGGGACTTTGCCGGAACTTTGAGTGAGACGTGGCGGAGTTCCTGCATCGGTCCAGGATGGATTTCGAGGTCGAATCCAATACCTAGCCTGTCGGTCTTGTCGAAAGGTTTCAGTGGACACCCAAAGCTTAGTCATGACATGATGCCATTGTATAATACTGTATACGTGATTGCAGAAGGATGCAGGCTCTCCCTTTCCTGGCCAACCAGGAAGTATGCAGCAAGCTCTATGCTAAGTACAGATGGCACCCAGCACGAGGAATTGCCCACGAAGACCTTCGGCCAGCATGTCATAACGAGGTGGCTCAACAGGCTAAATGCTAACCCGCAAAGCCTAAAACCGTAAGCCGGCACACCCAAATTTCCCGAAAATCTGAGGATGTATCCGCCGGCCTTTTGCGGCGACGGCAGGCGCAGGCCGGGAACTGTTGGGCATCAGTGCAAGGAGCCTTCAAGACGACCACATGAACTTTGAGGAACATGGCTGGGGCCGGGAGTGAATGCAGTTGAACCTTGGGCGGAATCTTCGTTCGGGCATACAAGCTCGTTCCTTTCTGGCAATCAGGTCATCGGATGAAGAACAAGCAGCACCGCGACGTGCTAACCGTTAACAATGGTGTATCATAGTGCGGCAGAACAACTACTAGCAGAGATGTTGCATGCATGCATGCATGCATGCATGCATGCATGCATGCATGCGTCTGCGCATATGTACATACGTACATTCGTACGTACGTACATACGTAGGTACGTGCAGTACTACATTACATACATACAGGCGTACATGCGTATGTACATACGTACATACATCTCCATCCATGCATGGATAAACACATGCCTTACTACTGGGTGTCTGAGTCGATAGCAGTGGACCAGAGATGCATTGTGGATTTGCGGGCAACGGACAACATCAAGATACTGTCGCGCGTCGGGAGTTGAAACGGAAGAGCACCATGAGATCGCTGCCTCTGCATCCTCTAGCTCATTCCTGATAGGCCGATAGGTACCTTCTGCTGCTTTTCGACTGAGGCGGCACAGCCCCTAGTCCTCCAAGGAGACCTCACGAGTCCCTTTTGGCGTTTTGTGTGCCATGCCAGCCATGTCCAAGCTCTCGGCCTTCGCCACGGGGGCGGCCGCGGTGACCGCAGCAACAGCCTTCGTAGGGGTGCCGCAGCCGGCTGCGCAGCCGACTCTCCGTGGTGCAAAGCAGCAAAGGTCTGCCGGTGCTGGATCCGCCGCCGCAGCAGGCCTTGGCCTTGGTGGCCTTGGCTTAGGTGTCGTGGGCTTGGCCTCCCTTGTGCGCCCGGTGGCTGCTCCACGAGTGGTGCGCTGCGCCTACGACGCCTCCAACGAGATCGGTGCCTGCGATCCGCTGTTGTTCTGGGACCCTGTCGGCTACTGCCAGGATGGTTGCACGAAGGAGGACTTCGACCGGCGGCGAGCGGTGGAGCTGAAGCACGGCAGGCTTTGTATGGTCGCCACGATTGGGATGGTGTGGCCGGACCTCTTCGGCAAGTTTGATGGTTACTTGTCCCCATCCCAAAACCTGAAGTTTGCTGACGTGCCTTCAGGGATCGCTGCAGTGACGAAGGTTCCCTTGGAGGGCTGGTTGCAGATCCTGTTGGTGGCCGGCCTCATTGAGACTCAGCTCTTGAAGGACCAGTCTTTCGGAGGATTCGGCTATGCAAAGTACGGTGCAGAGCCTGGCAACTTTGGTACTGGCTACTGGGGCCGGAAGATCCAGGATCCTGCCGAGCGCAAGCTGAAGCTGACCACCGAGCTGAACAACGGCAGGCTTGCGATGATTGCCATGTCCGGCATGCTGATCCAGAACGGCCTGACTGGCCAATCCCCCATCGAGCAGCTCACTGCCGGCCACTTCTCGCCCTTCAACGATGGCCAGGGCTTCTTTGCTTTCGACCCTTCCGCGGAGCTTGGCGCCTGCCCTCCCCTGGGCTACTGGGATCCCTTCGGTATGATGGCCTTCCAGGACGAGGAGAAGTTCCGACGGAACCGCGAGCTGGAGCTGAAGCATGGCAGGATCTGCATGGTCGCCACGATCGGGATGATTGTGCCCGACTTGTTCGGCCGCTTCGGAGGCTTCCTCTCGCCCTCCGCGGACCTCAAGTTCTCGGATATCCCTTGCACCATTGAGGCCATCTACAAGGTCCCCACCTTCGGTTGGTTGCAGATCTTTGCGCTTGCAGGTGCCATTGAGGCTAAGAACCAGGCCTTCCCAGAGAACTATGGCTATCCTCCGTTCTGGGGACGAATCAACACCCTCGAGCCCGAGGAGAAGCAGAAAAAGCTACTGGCTGAGATCAACAATGGCAGACTAGCCATGGTTGCCATGGCCGCCATCGTCGCACAGAACGGTGCCACGGGCCAGTCCCTGGTCGAGCAGTTCACCACCGGCAACTTGAACCCCTTCGTTGGTGGCTACGCGCAGCGCGAGGTGGGCGACAGGTTGGCCATGCGAGCTGAGTTCGGTTCCGGAGCTGGCAAGTCCACGGCCATTCCTTGGGATCCAATCCCGCAGGGACTCAGCAACGACATTTTCAACAGCACCTACGTGGGTGACGTGGGCTTCGACCCCGCGGGCTTTGCCAAGAACCAGCGCCTTCTTCCTTGGTACCGCGAGGCTGAGCTTGCCCATGGCCGTGTGTGCATGCTTGCCGTGCTGGGCTACACGGTGCAGACTTCCGGTGCCAAGTTCGAGCCATTCATCACCCGCTACCCCACGGACTCTGCGGACCCCCTGAAGGCCGCCACGCAGGTGCCGATCGTCGGATGGCTTCAGATCATCGTGGTCATCGCCCTGTCGGAGCTCTGGCGCTACGAGAACGTGATTAGCAAGTACTCCCAGGGAGTCCAGCCAGGTGACCTCGGCTGGAACCCCACCGCTCCCGTGAGCAGCCCACGCCCAAAGTGGTTCGGCCCCACCTTCACGGCTGCATACCAGCCAGAGGAGTGGAACAACATGAAGCTGCGTGAGATCAAGCACTGCCGTTTGGCCATGGTGGGCTTCTTCTTCATGGTGCTCCGGAACGCATCCACCGGCGAGGGCCCGTCCTTGCTCCCAAACCTGACGACGGCAGAGTTCCAGTCTTCCGTCGGCGACTTCATCCCTAGGGACATCTGAGAGGCATCCACAGAAGAGCGTTTTTTTTTTTCAGACTCCCCTGTACAGGAAGACAAGAGTCCCGTTGTGACGGGAGCGGCCCGACATCCTCAGAGAGGTCGAGCGAAAATCAGCAGCATTATAGAGGGAAGGCGCTTGCTTACCAATGCTTGTGCTCCATGCACCTCGGAAACTGTTTGGGGCCGTCCGAGGAATAGCTTCTCACACAGCTCCAAGACCAGGGCTTGGGATGTTGTCGTTCCGATTGCCATTGATGATGATGATGATGGCGAAGGCGATGACAATTATAAATGATGATGATGATGATGAAGGTCATGATGATGATGGTGATGGTGACGAGTATTCTGATGATGGTGGTGGTGATGATGTGGTGATGGTCATGACGATGATGCTCATGATCTTGATGATGATGATGATGGGCCTGACAATTTGGCGGTCTTTGCTACTTAATTGTAGTTGTAGATGCAGTTGTAGATGCAGCGGCAGCAGTAGTAGCAGTAATAGCAGTAGTAGTAGCAGTAGCAGTAGCAGTAGCAGTAGCAGTAGCAGTAGCAGTAGCAGTAGCAGTAGCTACTGCAGTAGTAGTAGTGGTAGTAGTAGTAGTAGTAGTAGTAGCAGTAGTAGTAGTA